GCATGGAAAATGGCCACAGGTTACATCATAGTTTATTCTCTCAGCCTTGCTGGATACACATTTTTGGAGACAGCTTTAATCTGATTGTGGCCAGATGGCATGAATGGGCTTGTTAATCTGGATTCCTTCACCCCACCACTGCATTTACACAGCCCCTTAAAGCACTTGCCATGCATTAGCTTCAAATCCTTACACCAACTCTGTGAGGGTGGTCAGTATTGGATTAGTTTCTTATATTGCAAAGAGAGCAGCTTAAATCCTCTAGGCAGGTCCAACGCCTGGCCCATATATAAGTCAGTGGTCCAGTCTTTCCCTGCAGAACTGGATTGGCGTCAGCTGCTTTCAGGATGCTGTATTGATCTGTGGAAGCAGTTCATTTATAACCATTGGGTAGTTGAACTTTCACCCTGTCGTTTCCTCCTGATGTTTCTGGGAATTGCTGGAGAGAGCAAGAGATGTGGGATTTATTTAAAAGGATTGGGGGGGGGGAGCAGTGAGTGACAGCAAGAGAGCTTTGCTGGTGGTTTAACTCACACTTGACTCTGTATTGTGGGTAACCAATCAAGGTAGAAGGTGGCATTAGAAAGATGAAAATAGATGAGATGATAGTTTAGTTACACTTTACATGTCTTTGGCCAGTGCCTGGACTTTAGCTATATACATACTTAGTTCACATCAGATGGTTGCTTTCATTTATGCAGTTCAATTAAATTGGGAACTTAACATTGGAAGGTTTTGCACACTGTGCTAAGGCACAATTTGTTAGAAAAGCCACGCCAATAGTTTGGGCTTACATATCACATTAATTCAAAGCCAGTAGGCTATTTTTATAGTGTCCCTTGGCTTCTAAAATCTGATCTTTCTATCAAACTTCAAAATCTTTCATCCAGACTGCATTCTGAAATCAGAGAAATTAGAAGAAATGATTCCAAGCTGTTTTCCACATTGCAATGAAATAGTGTTGCGTGAATCTAAAAAGAGGTCTAAAGAATAGTAACTCTAAGATGAAGAATGCTATGGAGGAAATTTAAAGAAACACAGGCAGGCATCTCTCTAGAATGGCAGACTCCTAATTTTGATGGGCACATAATTTTTTGAGGGAGAAATGGAAAACCAGCTCCCTGTCTCCTCCTGGACAGAAAAACAAAGTCTGAGCTTTGCAGAAGGGGTCAGCTTTCTCCGTTCCAGCATCCAAACACCAGAGCAAATAGAAAAGGCAGTTTAAGCACTACACCAGATTCAGTTCCTAAACCTAGAATAAAGAAGTACAGTGGAATAGAAGAGCTAAACATATTTTGTTCCAAAACCAGATCATTATTTTTCAAATGAGTAAATTAGCCTATTGGTCCTATGTCTACTCCTTGGTCTACTCCTCCCCAAATTAATGTCCTCCTGATAAATTGGACCCATAATACAAAATGGATTGGCCTTGCTGGCTGTGAACTATGGGAACTGAAGCCCAAGGCCTATGGGAGAATAGATAAAGGAGGACTGGGCAGCATCCAAGGTCTTAAGCAGAGACCTTTCCCAACACTGTTGTCCCTGAATAAGCACTATTAATCCAAGACAGTAGGGCTCAAGAGGCGGCCTAGCAGGCAAAGCATCTATTGAATCATTGGGAGCCCAGCAGATGAGCTGTCATTACCTTGGGCTGTCCCAGACTAGGAGAAGCTGCTGTCCAGAGGCCAAGAGGGTATCTGCCCTTTCAAAATATTTGTGTCTCAGAGTGAATGGCAGCTCTGATCCTTTAAACACCCACTTGTGGCAGGCAACCCACATACAATAGGCTGTGGGTGGGGAGAGCCGGAGGAGTCTGTTACAACACAGAACCGATAAGGCCTGACTGTCAACAGAAACAGCAGGGAGAACCATTCGCTTCTGTTCATTATCAAGTGGTGTGGGGAATTTCTCAGGAATGCAAGGGAGACGAAGGTGGTAATGTATGGATCAACATGTTCCCATTCTCTGGCGTTTCTCTGGGAAGAGAATGTTTGGAGAACTGACTGCATAGTCCTCACTCGGAGCAGAAAGTATGTCCCTGAACAAATCTATTGACATTACTTACATAGGAATATTGTTGCTTTATTAATAATCTTTTCTGATAAGTTTGCATAAAATGTAACCAACATTTATGTAGAATCATTAACTACGTAAAATATAAATAATTTTGGGGTTGGATTTTGGCCCCAAAGGATTTAATCACTGGATCCTCTAATCTGCTTCGCAACCAAGAAGTAATGCCACATCACAAGTGAGTTCATGTACAGCAAAATTAATACAATAATAAACCATATATCATGCTATGTTATTGTTTGTTTAGTCTTGATTTCCAATCCACTTTTCTTTCAGGGGTTTAAAGCAGAGTACTTATCTTCTTTTCTATTCATCTTCAATCCTATTTGATCATGCCTTGTTTAGCTATGGTTTACTGAATAAACCACATTTGTGTATTCACACATGCTAAGTAATAAACCGTAGTTTACAAACTACAGTGGATGGGTTTTTATGAAACCAAACAAGACAGTTACAACACAGTATGATTTATTCAATGTGTGATGTTAAAGCCAGTGTTGGAAGGATCAATTTGGTCCAGGAATGCAAAAATTCAATATTTCTCCATTTCTTGGCTCAACATGCATGGATCATTGGCTCATTTCCTTTCTTTCAAAAAAAGCTGATCCTGGGGCTTTGCCATACATTTTGTACTTAATCAACATTTCCTCTACAATTTCAGTTGCAGAAAGATGAAGCGATATCAGAACACTGAATAATCTGTACAGAATTCAGATTATTTTCCTGGTTACTGCAGAGATTCCCAACTTTTCCCTTTACATGGACCACTCTATCTATCTTTACTGAAAGTATTTGAGAACCATAAGGCCAGGGTTGAAAAAAAAAAGTTGATGGACATTCTGTCACATCCATTCCTTTTCATACCATCTTTAGGAGTCAAAATCAAGATTAATTTCTTTTGATTGCAAAAATCTTGTAAGATTGCTAAATCTCATTAATTTTCCTAGCCCCAACTTCTGAGAGTCTGGATGAGAATGTCAAAATCCTGTGCAATTTGGCGATTTTCCATATTTTTGATAATTTAAAATAGTTATTTTATGTTAGCGTGTGAACATGGGGCCACCCATAATAATTTTCCAGGCACCAGATTGCGACACAGTTGATCTCGCCTGGATTTGAATAGTAAACTGTGTCAGGTCTGAATAGTATATGGAGGGGAGGATTGTAGGCTCGACTGAGAAGTTGAAAAAAAGGGCAATGGCAAACCATTTCCATCCTGATGCCAACAAAAGTGTGTAGAAATAACCAGAATGTCACTACTATAGGAAATGGACTTAGTAAATTATTGACTATAAATATACTCTAATAAAAGTACTGATAAAAATTATGAAATCTACCAGTGTATGGGAGTGGGGCAAAAATCAAACAACGGGATTTCTGTGGTTTTTCTTCACAAACTTTATCAGGTTGCCAGTATCAAAGAATTGCGTAGAAGGAGAGGCTTAGGAACAGGCAAATATAAACAAAGTAATACAGCATCCATAAGCGGCCCGGATGTTCAGATGTCAAACTACTGAATTGAATCCAAGTTTATGTGCATAAAATGTAGCAGCAATCCCATATGGTTCTCTGCAGGAATTCTAAATAAAAAGAATGGTGTCAGACTGCAGAGCTGAAGTCTACATATGCTCACTTCAGAGTAAACTCGCATTTCCTCACTGTAACTTCTTCACATTTATTGTTGATTATACATGTTTGTAAGATTATAGTCTAAACACGAACATTCCATGACTGTAGTTATTAATGAATTAGATGAGAAGCTGGTTTAATTTCCTCAAGCTCAACCATCTATAGTCAGAAGACTTAGAGGTCTCTTATTTCCAAACTCTCCCTTAAGAATGATTAGGTCTACATTAAGACATTATTATTATCATCGCCGACATGGGAAATTAAAGCAATCTGTATATAGAAGCCACTTTAGAATTTATGGCAACAACATAGTAAGCGAATATGGGGCTACTCAGAAGTAAAGCCCATAGACTCAGTAAGCAGTGTTTACAAGAATAGCAGCTTTCTATCTGTCTGGTAAACTCACAAGATTTGTTTCTCTCGCCATGTACATGTATACATCCGAATTAAATAATGTTGTTTCTCTGTGTCATATATGTGGGTATATGCATAATGTATGTATGTATGTTTGTTTATTCTTATCATGCTTATGTACTGTGTACTAGAGGTGGAGGTCCTTTGACAGCTGTATGCAACAAAATTTCATTTTAATGTAACGCCAATTAGTGTGCATTCAAAGTGACAATAAAGTTATTCTAAATCTAAGTCTTCCAGCTATGTTTGAGTACAACTTCATTGGCTCTGTTGCATGCTGCGCAGTATTGGAAATTATAGTTTCACACTAAAGACCATCATAATTAGGGATGGATAATGGAAGATTGCTTTTTAAAAGTCATCTGATGCTGCAAGACCCCAAGAACAGTTCTTTGGGGAACTGAATGAATAAGAAAAGGGACATCATCATGGTGGGAAATACGTTAATTTATTTTTTAAATACATAATGCAGGAATAAATAGAATATGGAACAAGTACTCTGCACATGTTCAAGCCCTACTCCTTATTTGCATATTCAAAGACCACCCATTCTAACACTACCCGCCTCTCTAAGTCTCATTCTCTGCAGTGATGACGTTCTCCAGAAATGTCGGAAGTTCTTTTTTTTTTTTTTTTGTTCCGCTAGACTCTATCGGGAGTTGTAGTTTGAAGAAGGAACAGCCTCTCCCCAACTGGTCATAATTCTTTTCTTTTAAACTACAACTCCCAGCAGCCACCGTCGCCGCCACCGCCCAGGAAATGTGACGTAGATGGCCCGATGCAGAGATTGCTGGTGAGTGTCCGTAGAAGACGGCCCTGAGAAAAGAGGGGGCAAGTGCGGCGGGCGGTTCTGAGAAATGAGGGGCGGCAGCAGGGAGGAGAAGCAGGAGGGCGTTCTTTGCTTTCCCCTCCCTCAGCGATTGCTTTTACGTTTGTTCGTGGCTGGCAAAGTTGCTTCTCTAATGGGAGGGCTGGAAAATCTGGGTACGGGAAGAACGTAAGATGCTTTTCTTTGTGGAGCAAAGTATCTTGATACAGCACTATTAGACACACACACATCCCGTGATTATAAGTCCGGCTTTTGGGTCTTGCCTCCACGCGAAAATCCATGAAGGAGATAGCAAACTTCTGTTCTGTATCTCGGGCACCTATTAATTTGGAGTAAATGGCATCTGAAAATAGAAGTTTTTTTGTCAAGGGTACAAGTAGATAGTTGGTGCCTGGCCGTCTTCCTTAAATTTGATTAGTGGATGCTTTAGATGCCCTGAAATATCTCCCCAAAATGCCTTGCAGATGACAATATATTGTTCCTCTTCGATTAGCATTTCACATTATGTGTCACTATTGCACATTTTTGCATTAGTCAAAGCTCTTCCATCAAGGTTAAGGAGAAGAGACAAAGAAAACGGATGGGGAATATAAGAATCATCCCAGTTTGGCAAAGAGCTGTAATATGGTCTGGAACAGCGGTATCAATACAGCAAAGTTCCTGGATAAAACTCCCATTATCCATAGCTAACCTTCATATGGGTGGTGATTGCCTGTGTTATAGAGTAAGTCAAGCTGTCTTGAGCTTGGTAAACTACAAAATAATCTTGTGACATCATCCTTCTTTAAAAATGGCTTAACTATAGCCTTGTTGGTTTTATAGGGTGGGCTCTTAGCCTTTTGAAGCTTCTTCCAGGTCTGCTAGCAATTATCACCCCTAAATCTGTCAGTAAGGTTTATGGGGTGCTGGTTGATACTCTGGTCTACTTGGTTCTTACTGCAAAGAAATTTCATGGAGCTTTTTAAAGATTTGTCAGTCATAAACAAATTTCCAAGAAAAAATGAACATTTCAATTTTGCATATGAGAAATCAACTCTTAATGTTTTTATGTCTACAGATTGTAAAGTTATTATAAATTCTGTATACATAATAAATTTGATTTTCTTCAAAGCCACCCAAAAACAAATCAAAACACCGAAACCTTTAAAAGCCCCAACCCATTATCATAAGATTGTTTCTTATTCAGAAAAAAAAAATCAGCAGTAAACTATAATGGCATGAAATTTGCTGATCTCACTGCTGATCCCTAGCCTGCATCTATTATCTCTTTTCCACTGCTGGTCACCTGGCATTCCCTCCAAAATAATAGCTGACAAAGTCTAATGGGCTTCCTTCACCTTGAGTTTGTCCTTGGATAGTGCTGGAAGAAAGGGGAACAGATTTCTTTAAATTGTCTTTAGCAGTTGGCTGCTTACCCAGGAGTTGGGGACAAGAGAAAGGCAGTGTCATAAGGATGCAACAGAAAAAAGATGTATGCCCTGGCATGTTTGTATCATTGTTAGATGAAAACCCAAACTCTTTATTTTAAGACTGAAAGTGCTTGTTTTGTGCTGTCAGTATTTTGCTGAGTCTTGTGAGGTGCAAAAGTCCTGTGAGTTGGGATACCCATGAGTTTGGGATACACACCTAGAAAGAACTGCATAGTACATTAGAATGCGCACAGCATTTATTTATTTTATTTACTAGATTTTTATTCCACTTTTGTTATTTTATAAGTAATTCAAGGCAGCAAGCATATCTGATATGCCCCCCTATTTTCCCCACAACAACAATCTTTTGAGGTGGGTTGGGCTGAGAGAGAATATGACTGACCCGCTACCCAGCTGGCTTTCCTGCCTATGGTGGGACTAGAATTCACAGTTTCTTGGTTTTTAATCCAACACCTTAATCACTATACCAAATTGACCATTTTTCCAGAGGTCCAGCCACCAGTTTAACCTATTGTGTGAACCATTGTTGCACTAAACCATATTTTGTATGTGGGCATGACATTATAGCTTCGGTTTTAGGATTGGGATTAATTCATTTATTAGATGAACCAAGCATGTCAGTATAGAGCAGTGTTTCTTAAACTTATGTCCTCTCTTAAAAATTATTTAGGACCTCAAAAGAGCTTTCGCTTGTATGGATTATATTACCGCTAATACTTATATAATACACTGCTGAAAAAAATAAAGGGAACACTTAAACAACACAATGTAACTCCAAATCAATCACACTTCTGTGAAATCAAACTGTCCACTTAGGTAGCAACACTGATTGACAATCAATTTCACATGCTGTTGTGCAAATGGAATAGACAACAGGTGGAAAGCATAGGCAGTTAGCAAGGCATCCCCAATAAAGGAGTGGTTCTGCAGGTGGTGACCACGGACCACTTCTCAGTTCCTATGCTTTCTGGCTGATGGTTTGGTCACTTTTGAATGCTGGCGTTGCTTTCACTCTAGTGGTAGCATGAGACAGAGTCTACAACCCACACAAGTAGCTCAGGTAGTGCAGCTCATCCAGGATGGCACATCAATGCGAGCTGTGGCAAGAAGGTTTGCTGTGTCTGTCAGTGTAGTGTCCAGAGCGTGGAGGTGCTACCAGAAGACAGGCCAGTACATCAGGAGACGTGGAGGAGGCCGTAGGAGGGCAACAACCCAGCATCAGAACTGCTACCTCCACCTTTGTGCAAGGAGGGACAGGAGGAACACTGCCAGAGCCCTGCAAAATGACCTCCAGTGGGCCACAAATGTGCATGTGGCTGCTCAAACGGTCAGAAACAGACTCCATGAGGGTGGTATGAGGGCCCGACGTCCACAGGTGGGGGTTGTGCTTACAGCCGAACACCGTGCAGGACGTTTGGCATCTGCCAGAGAACACCAAGATTGGCAAATTCGCCACTGGCGCCCTGTGCTCTTCACAGATGCAAGCAGGTTCACACTGAGCACATGTGACAGACGTGACAGGGTCTGGAGATGACGTAGAGAACGTTCTACTGCCTGCAACATCCTCCAGCATGACCGGTTTGGCAGTGGGTCAGTAATAGTGTGGGGTGGCATTTCTTTAGGGGGCCACACAGCCCTCCATGTGCTCGCCAGAGGTAGCCTGACTGCCATTAGGTACCGAGGTGAGATCCTCAGACCCCTTGTGAGACCATATGCTGGTGCGGTTGGCCCTGGGTTCCTCCTAATGCAAGACAATGCTAGACCTCATGTGGCTGGAGTGTGTCAGCAGTTCCTGCAAGATAAAGGCATTGATGCTATGGACTGGCCTGCCCATTTCCCAGACCTGAATCCAATTGAGCACATCTGGGACATCATGTCTCGCTCCATCCCCCAACGCCACGTTGTACCACAGACTGTCCAGGAGTTGGGGGGTGCTTTAGTCAGGTGTGGGAGGAGATCCCTCAGGAGACCATCCGCCACTTCATCAGGAGCATGCCCAGGCGTTGTAGGGAGGTCATACAGGCACGTGGAGGCCACATACACTACTGAGCCTCATTTTGACTTGTTTTAAGGACATTACATGAAAGTTGGATCAGCTTGTAGTGTTTTTTTTCCACTTTAATTTTGAGTGTAACTCTAAATCCAGACCTCCATGAGTTGCTAAATTTGATTTCCATTGATAATTTTTGCATGATTTTGTTGTCAGCACATTCAACTATGTAATGAACAAAGTATTTAATAAGAATATTTCATTCATTCAGATCTAGGATGTCTTATTTTTGTGTTCCCTTTATTTTTTTGAGCAGTGTATTTATATAAACACATCAATTTTATTAAAAATAAAAGCAATTTTATTAAAAATAAAAGCGATGTATTTATAGAATATTTATTGAATCATTAAAAATAACAATATTAAACCCTTTATATATGACCTAAAACATTTTTCATGAAACCCCCCCTTTTTTTAACAAATAAAAATAATAGCAGAAACAATGACATTACATTTTTGCAAATATCTTCAGTATCTGAAAAATAATTTTGGTTTTGCAAATCTCTCAGATGCTCTTGGGAAACCCTATACATCGGGGGCTTAGAAAATTCTGAATTCTGTCACTGTTTCCTATTCTGTTTGCTCTAAAGATTCTTTTTGCATGCTTAAGCTGTCTCGCTATCTTAGCATATCAGAAAGCAATCAAGCCTATGCATACACAATGAGAAAAGGCACAGCTATGTTGAAACTACACACATGCACATGAAAATGAGAATTGTAAACTAACTGCAAAAAGACCAGACAAAATATTTGAAAAGGATGCTTCCCAAACTACGTTAGTGTGAGTGAAATATCTCCTAAGTTCTTGGGCTGCCATGTTACTTCAAAGTCTGTCCCCTAAGGTTTTCTCCACATGTAGCTACTGCTCTTTGAGGGTGATCCCTGCAGAGGTTGCCAGAAAAGCAAAGTTCAAGAGGAATTACCTTGATTTGTTTTTAGTTTAGCTTTCAATGTCCCCAAATCACATTTGGAAGAATTTGGGCTTTTGAAATGCTAGATGCACAAAAGCCAACAAAAAGACACAGGTGCAAAAGGAAAAAAGCCGCTCAGATTTTCTCCAGATGTGTGGACTCTTTGACTACTATAACTTGCAACCATTGTAGCTGTTGTGTGTTTAGATAGATACCAAACAGGATGAAACCAGCTATTGATTGCTCCCACAAGCAGTATGTACAGTATTGGGCTGATCTGTATATATGAAAAGAAGCTGCCATCTTAATTACCAAGCTGTGCTTCATTTGGAGACAAAACCATTTCTTATTGTTCCCACTATGAAAATGCTACAAGTCAGAATCCTTTTTTAGTTTCTTCAAATAATCTTGTTATTTTACAATTAATTAACAGGCAGGCGCGCGCGCGCGCACACACACACACACACACACACACATAATTGAAGCAACTGACAAACTCACCGGCCACATTATCTTCCATAGTGTTACATCTCATAAGGTTCTTTTAAAATATATATATAAACGGTATACCACTTTTCATTTATTAAAAACAATCCCAAAGCAAGGGAAGCGATGAATTAAAACACATTTCAATAAAATAACTTGGCAGTAACCTCCGTAAAACTGCCATTTTGTAAGCACGTTGCTTCCCCAATTCCCACATCTTCAAAAACACAAAACAGCTAGAACTCCATCGCACAAAACTATATTACAAAAACCTGAAT